AAGTTGAAATATGTTATTACTACTACTACTACTACTATTATTATTATTATTATTATTATTATTATTATTATTTGGATATTGTTAAATTTCGCAGGTTGTTATATCACAGATTAATATGATCGACCAATTAGATCACAGGATCTTGTGTAACAAAATGAACGAAAAATTAGAAAAAATTAAGAAAAAAAGTTAAAGTTTTATATATCTCGAAATTACATTATGTAAACTAGTCTTGGGCTTCTAATTAAAAGTTTTCAACACTTAATTTTGCACATATATATGCCTTCTAATACTAGCTCGAACCCTAACCCTAACTATTAATAATTTTAATTTTTTTTAAATGTATATTAACCTGCGATATCACAACCTGCTAAATTTAACAAAAACCTATTATTATATTAATGGGTAATATTATTTTAATTTAGGGCTTTTCAGACTTGATGTATTCTTTTTTAAAATTAGGGTGGCTTGGAACGGATCCACAAAACGTTCAACATAATTCATGGGTGAGTATAGTTAAATATAATTAAATCTACAGTAAAAAGTTTATTTTATTTTTTTATTTATTGTTCTATACTGTATTACTAATAACGATAATTAAAACTATATAACCAGATTTTTTTGATTACATACTTTTTGGCCCAGCTTCTACAACAAAACCAGTAATGGAATCAAGAATATCAAAGATTAAAGAAAAATTAGATTTGCCAGAAAAAAGCCAATTTATGGTAGACAATGTTGTTGATGCTTTAAAAAGGTAAGTCATTGTTATTTATTTTTGAAAATATAAAATAGTATCTAATATCATGATTTTTATATATCAAGTCTATCATTATTAGAAGATCAAAATCAAACAACTACTAATTTAATAAAGCCACCAAAAACTGGCTCATTATCACCACTTGATACGTTTTGTATATTGCTTCAGGATAAACTTAAATATAATCCTGGTGAGAAAGATTTATTAGTTTTATATCATGAATTTGAAGCAAAACTAAAGAATGGGAATAAGGTAAATTGCTACATTTATAATTTACATTTTCAATTTACATTAATAATTTTAATTATAATTTATTTGCGATTATAAGTTAACATATATTTATATATGATTTTCAGGTAACTAAAACATCAAAGTTAATTGCTGATGGAATATTTGGGTCGACTGAAACATATACTGCAACGGCAAAAACTGTTGGATTACCAGAGCTGCAATAGCAACTGAAATGACTGCTAGAGGTATTAAAAAAATGTTATATTATAGTGATCAATAGTCTAATATTTTAAATTAATCTAGGTGAAATTCGTGATAAAGGTGTATTGGCACCAACTTTACCGAATATTTATAATCCAATACTTGAAAAGTTAGATCATGAAGGTATAAAAGTTAAAGAATCTACTATTGAAAAAGGAATGAGAGAAAATTTGAAATGGAATGGAAGTGGAATTTGGAATTAGATTATGTTACTGAATATTTTATTATCTTAAAATATATATATTAAATCAATTATATGCTCGATCAAAAAAACTTACATTATATTAAATTTTTACCAAGCTTTTTTATCAAAAATTGGATAGTTTATATATTTGACTATATACATTGTATGCTATAATTGATCCTTAGTTATCATTTAGTTTCGCGTGATTAGTACGTATTAAACATATCGGTTACAGTATACAGTAATTTTGGATAGCAGGCAAATTCACGTGATCGCAGCCAATCAAATTAT